ATTCTAATGTATGTTTGCATGGATCTTGTTCTGGTTTTTATTTAGGAGCTTTTGAAAATGGAATTGCAGAAGGCAGTATCAATCAGTCCATAGGAAGAATACAGGCTATTCGTTTATCGATCAGTTCTGATTCCCCTGTCTGGGCAATACTTAGTGAGGTAAGCATGTTAATAAAAGCACTTTTATTATTCGTTGTTAAATGAGTTTTGGTTGTTCCAATCCTATAGTATTGAAAATCATGAATTCTGTTTAATTTTGAATGTAATTTTGTGTGGGGAAACTCACACAATTATAATTAATTATATTAATTATTCAGGGGAGGAGTTAAATTTATGTCACAGTGTGATGGTTTGAACTTGGCTCCCCGCCAAATGCCCAAACCCCAGTAGCAGCCTCTCCCTCCCTTCCCCCTTCCTTCTTCCCCTAGAGCAAATGAAAAAAACTATGTAAATTGAAGAACCCGAAAATCCAACTAGTTATATAGAAAATATATATATTTGATGTATATTACAGATAAGATGCTGTGTACACAGCAAAAAGGAATCCAAACACCGCCCGAACGGATAGGGAAAAGGGGAAAAGGAACAAAAGGAGATGAAGGGACACCGAGCAGATATACGTAATCAAACTTGAGAACTAGTAAAATAACTAGTAAAACAAATCTCACTACATCCCTTAGAAAGAAGTAGGATTGGCACACACGGCCAGCACTCTGCTATCCTCCACGTGGCAGGCCAGCGGTCGCTGCAGGCCTCAGCCTTAGATAAGCGAGACCAACGCAAGGACCCACTGTTCCTGTACTCCGCTGGAAGAGAGAGAGAGAGAAGGCCTCTCTTCCCTTCTTATTTATACCCCAATTTACGTAAAAATCGTATGGAATACTGGGAACACTGCCTCTTCCTTGGTTACAAACTAGTAACCAAGGAAGGCCTAGATTAAACCCACCACATTTTTCACCCCTTATTCCATACTATTTTTACGCAACACTTATATCTTACGTTCGTTTATATCCCGTGCATATATACACATATATATAGTCCTTATTTGTCCTTGGAGCAGTTGTTAAAAATCAACACCGACATCAGTTCATTTCAAATCTTTGGTCTCCTTGGTCACAATCAGAGTTCTGGTTTTTGGACTGATTCATAGTTCTGGGCTGTCTCATCACTGGATACCGGCATCAGCTTGGTTCAGGTCTTTCTTGTCTGGTAGCTGGTCTCTTGTAAAACACGACTCAAAGCATAGAATTAGTTTCTCCCCAAGGTTAAATTTCCTTGTGGCACACATTGGATCTTTCCGTTTTTTCTCATTACCCACCAGGTATGTCTTGGCCCCTGAGCAAAGACAATCCCACGTATGGGTTTGTCTTGGCCTGAGGCAGGAGTGACCCAAACGGCTTTCTCTAGCATTACTCTCAAGTGGATCGCTGGAACTTTGTCTCCGTCTACAATGTGGAGGGATTCTGCTTGTGCAGGGCCAGCTCGATTGACAGAACCCCTAGTGTTCACTAACCATGTGGCCTTTGCTAGGTTCTGATCTCAATTTTTGAAAGTTCCCCCACCTAGGGCCTTCAAAGTAGTTTTTAACAGTTCATTACACTTCTCAACTTTCCCAGCAGCTGGTGCATGATATGGAATGTGATATACCCATTCGATACCATGTTTTCTTGCCCAGGTGGTGACTAAATCATTTTTGAAATGAGTTCCATTGTCCGACTCAATTCGCTCTGGAGTCCCATGTCGCCACAGGACTTGCTTCTCAAGACCTAGAATGGTGTTCCGGGCCGTTGCATGGGGCACTGAATAAGTCTCTAGCCATCCGGTGGTTGCTTCCACCATGGTAAGCACATAGCGTTTACCTTGGCGGGTCTGTGGCAACGTGATGTAATCAACCTGCCATGCCTCCCCGTATTTATACTTGTTCCAGCGTCCACCATACCACAGGGGCTTCAATCTTTTTGCCTGCTTAATAGCGGCACAGGTTTCACAGTCATGGATAACCTGGGAAATAGAGTCCATGGTTAAATCCACTCCTCGGTCTCGTGCCCATCTATAGGTGGCATCTCGGCCCTGATGGCCTGAAGCATCATGGGCCCATTGAGCTAGGAATAATTTTCCCTTCTGCTGCCAGTCTAGGTCTACTTGTGACACCCCGACCTGTGCAGCTCGGTCTGCCTGTTTGTTATTATCATGTTCTTCATTAGCTCGACTCTTGGGTACATGGGCATCTACATGGCGGACTCTCACATTCAGTTTTTTTACTCTGGCAGCGATGTCTTGCCACAAATCAGCAGCCCAGATGGGTTTCCCTCTACGTGTCCAGTTCATCTTCTTCCACCTATCTAGCCATCCCCATAGGGCATTGGCTATCATCCACGAATCAGTGTAGAGGTAGAGTTTTGGCCATCCTTCTCGTTCTGCAATGTCCAGGGCCAATTGGACAGCTTTGAGTTCCGCAAATTGACTCGATTCGCCTTTACCTTCAGCAGCTTCTGCCACTTGTCGGGTGGGACTCCAAACGGCTGCTTTCCACTTCCGGTTCCTTCCTACAATGCGGCAAGAACCGTCAGTGAAAAGGGTATAACGCTTCTCTTCATCCAGCAGCTGATTATATGGCGGAGCTTCTTCAGCTCGACTCACTGGCTCTTCTTCTTCTTCCTCGTTTGCCAGACTGAAGTTTCTACCTTCGGGCCAATTTGTTATAATCTC